TAGGCTGCATAGCACCAGGCCAGCTAAGGCTACCTGGGGAGTGGAATTACAGGAGGTTGCCGAGTGGGCAGACAGGTGCAGGGCTGGTGAGGTCATGGCTGGTGGAATGCATAGCTGAAATTCCTAGGTTCATCATGGTGAGTCCTTACACTACACACACCATGGGAAGTCCCACTGCCTCTCTGTCCCCTGGTTCTACGAGACGACTAGAAACACTACACGTTGTGTTACACAAGCTGCACAGAACCAGAGGGGCTGGGAGGGTGGCAGCTTTCCAGAACAGGAAGCCAGAAGCCGGCGCAGGGAGCTCAGAGGATAGCGGCACTCTGCGATGGTGATCCACAGATAACGCTGGGAAGAGATCACGCTCAGCTCACCGCTCCTGCTTCTTCCCATCAGTGTCGTGGTGAATCACGGGCGACTCTACAGCTTTCCAGTTGTCCCTAACAGCTGAGAGCTCTTGGGGGTCTTTCAACAATACTCTCTGAATTTTTTACTGAAATATCTCACCCAGTTTTCAAAACATATTCTAATAAGCTAGACTTTATTCCAGGTCCAGGGATTTGGCTGTGACCGGAACAGACACCGGGAGATTAAATTCTAGGGAGAGCAGATAGTAAGCTCATACATTAGCAATGAGGGTACCGTGCTGAGGTGTGGGGCCCAAGGGCCACAGCTGGCCTGGTGTGCACTAGATCAGTCTCCAGTGTTTAGACTGCACTGGGCGTAAGGAGGTGAGTGTGGGTGACATTACACTTTTATGTGAGAGCTAGTAGTTAGTCCTATCCGGGATTCACAAGGAATAATGACACGGGGAAGTAAGCCAAGTAGTCATTTATTTATTACTGAAAACTAGATTCTCCTCTCATACAAGGCTTGCTTGTTTTTTAAGACAGAGTCTCATTATGCAGACCATGCTGACCTTGAACTCACAGAGCTCTGCCTGTTTCTCCCCCCCCACCCCATTGCACCTGGCAGATACCTTTTTTTGAACATGCTTTATTATTTGTATGTTTGCGTGTGTGCGCGCATTTGCCACGGCAAGTGTATAGAGATCAGAGCACAACTTTCAGGAGCTGGTTCTCTCCATCCTACGTGGGTCTCAAGGATGGAACTCAGATCATCAGGCCTGGGAGTAGGCGCCTCCCAACCCCTGAGCCATCTCACCAGGTCTCCCGGTTAGGTATCTTGAAGCGAAGAACATTCCAGGAAGAAAGGCCAGGGCACTGCAAAGATTTAGCTTTAGGAGGCAGGCTTGGTGAACTTCAGGAGCTACAGGAGAGCCAACATAGGGACCAAGAGAGGAAAGCAGGATGGCTAGAGATGAGGACAGAGGACAGAGTATGGGCTCAGAGGGCAAGCAAGGAGACCCGTGAAGGAGGAAAGATTATCTCGGTGATGGGGGCGGCAAGGAATCCCACACCAGGCAACAGACCTCACTTAAGAGATTTATTGGGGAGGGTGCAAAATGGCTGCTTGTGAGTGAGATGGAGACGGGCCAGGCCGTGACGGCAGGCTTTACGGGGATACAGAGCATGTACACAGGGGACCCATGGCCATAGTGGGTGGGGCATGTCATGTCACATTAGCCATTGGTGATGGTCAGGAAGTAGGAAGGGGTGACTTCTGAGGTTGGAGCTTTCTTTCTTTTTGTTGTTAGTGCTCTTAATCACTGAACCATCTCTCCAGCCCCCAGGACTGACATCTTATTAACTTTCTTACTAATAGGTTTTCTGTCTCCCATTAATAGGTTTCTCCACCGACACAGTAAGCCGGAGCAAGCTGAACTGAAAAAAGTATAAGAACAGGTTTATTTGAGCAAAGCAACTCCTGGGTGCGATCGAGGCCGGAGAAGCCACATGCCTGAGCCAGCAGGGAGGTTTGTAGAGCCTGTGCCTGTAGATGAGATGTGATGACATGTCTGCCACAAGCTGGGTTTGTGCCCAAGTGTGAATGTGCCCAGTGTGAGCAGAAGTTGGAATGCTTAGGTGGGGACTTGAGCTGCTGGTAGCAATGCGGAGCGGGGTTGCAATAGTCACTAGGAAATGCTGAACTGGGTGTTTTAGTGCCCTTTCTTTCTTGGAGAGTTTCTGAGAGGGAGGAGTTTGGAGAGGGACAGATAGAGATGGGGCTTTTCGGGTCATACAAGGTCGAGCTGGAGGTTCTAACCAGATACTTACAATGGTTACTAACTTTCTTTTTATTTTATGTGTATGGGTGTTTTGTCTGTCTGTGTGTCTGCATCATGCTTACCCTATGCCCAAAGAGTCCAGAACAGGGTGTCAGATTCTCTGAAACCGGAGTTACAGATGGTTGTGAGCCACCACATGGGTGCTGGGAACTGAACCAGGGACCCTTTTGAAGAGCAGTCAGTGCTCTTAACTGCTGAGCTTGAAAGACAAAAAAAGTAAAGTTAAAGAAACCCCTCACTTGAAATAAAGGACTAACCTGGAAATCAATATCTGTTCATTGGAATTTGCTAACTTCCCCTTACAAGGCCCTGAGATAGATATCAGGATACCAAGAATTCACACTGCCCCTCCTTTCCGTGAATCAGCAGGTGGTAAAATAGGGTCCTTAGGAAACAAAGAGATAGCTGCAACTCTAGATTCCCCAGACAAAATTAATTAGCACACCCCGAGGCCCTAAGGTCTGCTGACCCTAACAGACCATCTGGCCTCAAAGGGTCACGTACTCAATGGACAGAGAGGGTCACACCCCCTCCCTAAGCTTGTGGGTTTGCCTTTAAAAACGCCTGTGCCCCCGGGGGAGAGGGCTTCTCTCTGGCCTGCATGCTGAGGGAGCCTGTTTGTGCAAACGTTTCCTGTTCATTAAAGCCTCTTGCGTGTTGCAGCAACTGGACTGGACATTGAGTTCTTGGGGGAACCGACCGAAACTGGGAGACTCCTCATTCTGAGGGTCTTACAAGCTGTCACTCCAGTTTACAATCTAGTTCTTCAAAATGGACTTTCACTTCTCAGAATACACAGGCACACTCACGCATACTTGGTTTTCTACAAAGTGTCACACAATAATTAGTAATGTTAATGCAGGGAACAGAGGCACATTAGGGAAAGCTAAGCCAAGGTGTGGTGCTGCCTATCGCTGACCCTTCATTGTCCTGGCTCCAGTATGTTCCACAAAGTGGTCTGGCAAGCTATCAGAGCTGTGTGAAACCTCTTCCTGAAAGAGTTTCCTCTCTTTCCTGTTTGGCACTGGGCTTCAGCCTTTTCCTTCTCCCAGCATGAGATTCTTGGGAACATTCCAATTTTAGGGACCATTGTTTCCATAGTATAATGGCCAAAGAGAGGGACGTAAGTGTCTGTCTTTAGACTATCTTCATTTCTGGCAGGGTGGGTACCTACTTTGACAAATTAGCAGGGAAAAGTCTCAAAATTACTCTGCCACATAGACCTCGCTTTTTCCTGTTTCCTTAGAATTCCTCTTCTGGTGAGTGTGGTCTGGCTGCCTGGAATTCCTCTTAGTGTTCTCTTTTCTGGTCACACAACTCAAACTTTGTTTCTCCTTTCTGTACTCCAGACTCACTTTCTTCCTTTTTCTGAGACAGGGTTTCTCTGTGTAGGCTGACTGTCCTGGAACTCACTTTGTAGACCAGGCTGGCCTTGAACCCAGAGATCCGTCTGCCTCCGCCTCCTGAAGTGTGTGTCATCATCACCTGACTGCTGTATACTTTCTTGTTTTCCATAATCCCCTGCTAAAAGATGTGATCCATGGTTGAAGAGTTTTAAATGTATTTTTAAGAGTCTCATGTAGCCCATGCTGACCTATGTTACTATGTAGTTGGATTTCTAACCCTGCTGTAGCCACTTCCTGAGGGCTAGGATTACAGACACGTGCTATTCCTTACTAACCTGGAATCTCAGGCTTCAAGCAAACTGAACAAACACCCTACCAACTGCGCTACGTCTAACGCCCTCCTGGGAAGGTCTTTATCTTTAGTTAAAGGTTGATCTTGTTTAGGCGGGAGAGATGGCTCAGCAGTTAAAAGAATGTAACTTTTGCAGCCAACAAGAGCTTGGTTCCTAGTACCGTTGTCTGGTTCCCAGCCTCCAGCCAGCTATAGGGGATCGATGTCCACTTCTGACCTCCATTTGCAATAATATATATATCTCTTTTTCAAAAGTTAAATCTTCTGGAAGTTAAATCTTACCATTTGTCTGTTGTTGCGTTATTTTCCATCTATTCTAAAGGTTGCCAACCTCAGATGGGGCGATCACTTAGAAGTTTTCCTTGTTTACACCATCCCATGACTGTCCCCAGTTGCCCATCTGGGGCCATTGGCCTTCTTGACCCATTTATAAGCTCCTTCTAAGCATGAGAGCGTGTGCTGCACTGAAAATTAATTCTCCTGTTCAACATGTCAAACAGAAAGTGGCAATCACATTTCAGGTACTCTGCAGAAACCCGTGTTGGACACTGAAAGATCTACGCATTTTTCACACTTAGAAGGTCCAGGAAGCCGGTCCTTGGTCACTCGGGAGGCAGAGGCAGGCGGATCTCTGTGAGTTGGAGACCAGCCTGATGTACAAGAGCGAGTTCCAGGACAGGCTCCAAAGCTACAGAGAAACCCTGTCTCGAGACAGACAGACAGACAGAGACAGACAGACAGAGACAGACAGACAGACAGACAGACAGACAGACAGACAGACAGACAGACAGACAAGGTTCAGGAATTGTTACTAGCTACAGCGGTTTCTTCAGTGCAGGGCGGGGAGTTGGTCCCGGATGGCTCGCAGTGGGGGCGTGGCCTCAAAGCTCACATACCCGCGCCTGTCGGGCTCCGCCCCCTCGGGCGCGCTGCCTGTCGGGGCTTGTAGTCCCCGGCCCCACCGGAAGGCGTGAAGGGCAGGCGTTCGTTCCTGCCCTTCTGCGCTGGAGGTCACCTCTCCGTCTCTCCAGCGCTGCAGTCGTTCTCGGGCGTGGCCTCCAGGAGCGCCACGGCCCCCGGCGGCTGCTCCGTTTTCAATAAAGTTTTCCTCCCGGTGCGGACGGAGCTCAAGATGGCGGCCTCCTGGTCGCCCTTGGTTACCCTGCGCTCCGCGGCGCGCAGCCGGCTGGCCGGGAGAGCTGTGGGGCGCGGGCCGCGGGCAGTTCGAACCCCTCCTCCGGCCCCCGGCCCCGGGCGACCCCTTTGCAAAGGTCAGTGACCGTGCCACGAGCGGGCCGCGCAGGCTCTGGGGTCACCCCGCTCCCCGATCGTTCCCAGCTGCACCAGCTTCGCGGGTTCGAAGGCTCCCGGAGAAGACCTCGTGTCCCTTGACCTTTTTACATTTTTATTTATTTATTTTGATGCCTGGTCCCGAAGGAGCTCTGAGCACCCCAGGTTCCATTCGGGCGTCAGAGGTCAAGCCAGGGGTCGCCCAGGCAGCCGCGAGCTGCAGAGCTCAGGTGTGCAAATGCCTGGCGTGGAGCGAAGGGTGAGCAAGTGTGGCGTGGGTGTCTGGGGGCCCGGCCACCCAACGCCACCCAGGTTCTCATGGCTGATAAAGGGCTTGGCAGCTTCGCCGCCGACCCTGTGGCCCCTCCGGGCTCAAACGAGCACCAGAGCCGCTCCTCACGGTCACATCCTATCCCGAGGTTTCTGTTTGGTCACTGGGCTTACGTTCATTTGTTGGACTGTTGTGTGTTCGCGAATGAGCGGATTGTAGTTTGACTAACCTAGCCCATGAGAATTTGCCAATTGGTTGTTCGAGACGTGGTCTCAGTGTGTGGGCAGGCTGGCCTGCGACTGAGGTCCGCCTGCTTCAGGTTCCCAGAAGTAGCCACTGTGTGCGCCATTGCTTCTCTAGCTCTTAGGGGCCCGATGCGTGTCTGATGGGCTGATGGTTTAGAATGAATGAAGTTACTCTCACGGCCTCCCCGATCCACAACTGTGCTTTTCCTTTTCTCATCTCCAAGTCCCTCTTTGTGTAACCTAGCACGTTGATACAATTTAACGGAGTATATACGTTAATACTGACTTTCATCGTCTCAAAGTAAGCTTCCTTCAGTCACTGAAATCAATACTAGAACTGTTACCCTTAGAGCCTGAGTTCAGTTCCCGGGATGCATATGGTGAAAGGGCAGGGCAACGTGTCCTCTGACACACTCACACACACAGACACACTCACATACACAGACACACACACAGACACAGTCACAGTCACACACACACGCTCACACACACACACACACAGACATTCTCACACACGGTCACAGACACATACACTCTCACACACAATCACACACTCACACACACAGACACTCACACACTCACACACAGACATTCACACAGACACACTCACACACACGGTCACAGACACAGACACTCTCACACACAGTCACACACACAGTCATGCATACACTCACACACAGACACAATCACACACACAGACACATTCACATACACAGACACAATCACACACACACAGTCACACACAGACACATTCACACACACTCACACACACAGACACTCACAGACACATTCACACACAGTTACACACACACAGACATTCACACAGACACACTCACACACACGGTCACAGACACAGACACTCTCACACACAGTCACACACACAGTCATGCATACACTCACACACAGACACAATCACACACACAGACACATTCACATACACAGACACAATCACACACACACAGTCACACACAGACACATTCACACACACTCACACACACAGACACTCACAGACACATTCACACACAGTTACACACACACAGACATTCACACAGACACACTCACACACGGTCACAGACACAGACATTCTCACACACAATCACACACACAGTCACACACACAGCCACACACAGACACAATCACACACACAGCCACACACAGACACATTCACACACACAGACACACTCACACAATCACACACACAGTCACACACAGACACATTCACACACAATCACACACACACAGTCACATTCACACACACAGACACACACTCACACACAGACATACTCACTCACAGACACACACACAGACATACACACACTCACATACACAGACACACACACTGACACACACAGACACACTCACACACACAGACACACTCAACATGCACTCACGTGCACACACACAGACACACACAGATACACACACACATACATAATGCTTACAACTTGGCCTCTGACACACATACAACACTACAACTTGTCCTGTGACAGACAAACACACACACAATGCTTACAACTTGTCCTCTGACACATACACACATACACACTCACACAAACACACACTCACACACAGGTTTTTTAAAGTAAAAACTATTTCCTTCCATTTTCTAAACAAGAGAAAAAATGAAGTTTAAATCTTACCCTTTGAGTCCCCAGGGGGTGGTGGTTATTTAGGATTTACACTTTTATTTTATCTCCATTCATTTTTTTCTCATTTGAAGTTTCATTTAGAAAAAAATCAGCCTAAACAAAGGAAGGACATAAGTGATGGAAAAGAATATAAGGAAAGGAAGGGCAGGCTTTTGCTCTTTGTTGGCACTGCTGTGCTCGAAGGCAAGGTCTCCTGTGCACTAGGCAAGCCCTGTCCCGCTGAGCCCGTCAGTTCTTCTGTTTTGAGATGGGGTCTAAATTGCATCCTGGGCTGGCTTTGAATTCACTCTGCAGTCCAGGTGGGGCTTGAACTCCTCACTCCTGAGCATCTGTATGAGCCTTTGCCTGCATGTGTGCATGTATCCACTAGTGCCTGTAGTGGTTGGAAGAGGGTGTCAGTCGCAGACAGTTATAAGCTGCCGTGTGGGCACTGAGAACTAAGCCTGAGTCCTCTGCAAGAACAGCCAGTGCGCTTAACCATAGAGCCATTTCTTTACCCCCCCCCCCTTTTTTTTTTTTTTTTTTTTTTTTTTTTTTTTTTTTTGAGACAGGGTTTCTCTATGGCTTTGGAGCCTGTCCTGGAACTAGCTCAGTAGACCAGGCAGGTCTTGAACTCAGAGATCTGCCTCCCGAGTGCTGGGACTAAAGGCGTGTGCCACCACCACCTAGCCAGTTTTAAACCTCTTAATGGTTAAAAGGAAGGAGACGTTTATTAGACAGCAGAGTGGCTGTCTGCTTGGGGGCACAGGTGGTAATGGTAACACTTGTTGCCTAATCATAATATCACAGCAGGTTTGAGCCAGCCTGAGCTACATAGTGAGTTCAAGTCCATCTTTGTCTCAGCAAACACCTAACAACAACAACAAAAATCATATTGGTCAGGGTATGGGTAGAAATGTGACAAGTCTTATATTAAATGTAAGGAGATGTGGGAATAAACTGGATCCTAGCCCTTGGAAGGGAGATGGAATTGTGACACGTAACATCTGATAGTTAATTTGATAGCTAGTATGTGAAGAGTTCCCTCCCCCCCCCTTTTTTTTCTTAAAAAAATTATACACAGTCACACACATATATTTGAACCAGGGTCTTAGCTGGAGCTGGCCTGGAACTCACTTGCTATGTAGTTCACTAGGCTGGCCTCAAACTCACAATTCCAGCTGTGGTTACAGGTGTGAGCCACCAGGCTCAGCTGAGCCTTTTCTGTATTCTACGCAGACGGCCAGGCCAGTCGTTTTTCTTGCACTCTGAGTTTCGTTTGTTTGTGTTTTCAGCCAAGTGTGGGAGGAACCGCCTAGGACCCTTCCTGCTTTGTATGGTTCTGAGGGAGAGCAGCCAGAGTCGAAGCTGGGATGGGGAGCTGCCATTGGTTTCAAAGATTTCAAAGAGCAGCTGATGCCAAGGGAGCTGTCCAAGCCTAGAAAGACTCTGTGGAACTTTGGAAGAAATGTGGTCAGATCTGTTTCAGCACCCTGTGCTCCCGGGGGTGGGGTGGGGTGGGGTGGGGTGGGGTCGGGTGGGGGTGGAGGGGTGAGATAGGGCGGGAACTTGGAAGGAAGGTAAGGTCAAGTAGTTGACAAGGCAGTTTGACTAGGCCTAAATTATTGCGTTGGTGAAAGACGGGAGGGACACAGAGATGGCTGCTTCTGCTTGGTAGAAGTGGGAGTCTTGCAGGAGATATGGAGAATCTGTTACCATCAGTGTGCAGTTGCTAGGTTGGGTGCTTAAGGGAAACTGAATCAAAACCGGAAAGGAGCCCAAGAGGAGCAATTACATTTTCTGGCTTTAAAATTTCTTTACAAAACAACTCTGGTCTAAGCAAACACTTAGAACCGCTGAGCCCATCTATCTTCCCAGCCCCAAGGCTCGGTTCTGACTCATTAAACTTGGGGTGTTTGTTAGTGCTTGGCAGATGAGCCTGGCTGGGGCGGGATGCCAGAGGGAGGAAGAAACAGGAAGCAACGTAAAGCAGGATGGAGGCCTTGCCCGGGCAGGTTTGTAGCGTGGAAAGCGGGAAGTCTGAGTCCCAAGGAAGCGTGTTATGGAAAGAATTGGGTGCCAAGAAAAGCAGAGAAGTCATGGAGAGCTAGGGCGCACACCAAAAGGGAGGGCGCTTCTAGGTTTTCCAAAGTATAAAACAATTCTGCCTAAAATCCTGCTTTATTTAAGCTGGCCTAGGAAAAGCGTGTTTCATAGCTGTGTCATATTCAGATCAGAGTGTTTATTCCGTAGCCTCATCCCCATCCTCTGACTCTCACATCTTTCTGGCCCCTCTTCTCTGATGTTCCCTGAGCCTCCTTGTGTATTTGCGAGTGGGTAGGAGCTGATACAGGCTGAGCACCTAACAGTCCTGATCAGTTAGCTGTGCTCTGCACTGACCACTATCCACTGCAGAAAGACGCTTTTCTGACCACGGTTGAGGGTAGCACCAACTTATGGGTATAAATGAACATACTCAGAAGGCAGTTTGACATGGCTGCCTAGCGAAACAACAGCAGTAGGCTCTATCCCCGCCCGGCCGTGGCGAGCCTGCCCCTGTATCTCTTGACTAGACCTATATATAGCGCCAGGGGTGAACTCCCTCCGGTGGAGCCCGCCTCAACTCCGGCAAGGAAGCAGTGGTTACTCCCATGACAGCCGTGCCAAAAGCACTACACCCATCGCATCTCGCCTGGCAGGTCGGTATCGAAGGATTCGGTCCAGCTGTGGGTGACGTTGTTGATGTCTTTCTCCCTTAGTGGCTGGTGTAGCCTCCAGCACTAGTGAGAGCTAGCTGGCAGGGAGGAAGTTTCCTGGTCAGTTGCAATACTGTTTTT